GTACTTAAGTACAGTAACGAAGTACTTGTACTTCGTTACTTCCCACCACTGGAAATTGGTTTCCAATTCCAGCTTCCTATAGCTAAAGGGCGATTCCACCTAATTGTTCACTACCCTCCGCATGTTTAACCGACTAGTTTAGAAACTACAACTCCTAGACACTTCAACTCTGGACTAGATTATTCTCCTCTTCAAGCTGGATATTTAAAACCATGTTTGGGATTTGCGAAACTTCAATAAAGATTGATTTTACCACTTTTTTTTTGCATCTGGGTTGCACTAGAACTGCTCCAGCTCCAAAACTACAACACCTAGACACTTCAAACCTGCACTTGATTATTCTGCTCAAATAGAAAAAAGTTCCAGTATGAAAGAGATGCGAAAGAAATTGTGAAAATCGAACTTTGAGTTTTCACAAATCAGAAAAATGCTTCACAAATCCCAAACAAGATTTTAAATATTCAGCTTGAAGAGGAGAATAATCTAGTCCAGGTTTCAAGTGTCTAGGTGTTGTAGTTTTTAAACTAGAGTCGATTAAAGATGCGGAAGGTAGTGAAAAATTACTTTAGCTATCGGAAGCCAGAATTGGAAAACAACTTCAGCTTCGTATCACGTAGGAGATTATAAATGAAGAATTTACACGTTGTATCCCAAATTTCCAGCACTAATAATAACAACTGAAGTAATAAAGTCAGGCGGCTTAACTCAAACAGGTTTTCTGTTTGTTTTAACATGTTCATGCTAGCCTCTGTAGCATCAGAGCTAGCAGCTCAATCAGTTCCTGTTCAGCTCCGTTTAGCAGCAGCTGGAGCTGCAGCAACTATCGCCGCTGACGGATCTCTGTCTGCAGTGAAAACATCAGCACCTTTATCCAGACCTACCAGAACTTTGTCTCTGCAGCTCCGAACCGACTCTGTGTAGCTTAATTTGTGGTTTCCAGTCGATCCCCATCATCCTGCGCTGAGCATCGAGCTCTTCCTCGTAGCAAATGATGGTTTTTTCAACCTCTGTGAAGATTTCTTGAGCAGCAGCAGTTAGCCGCTCTCTGATAAACTCTCTGAGATGCTGAACTGAAGACATGGTTGCTGAAATATTAGCTCAGATGGGACAATGCAGCAGCTATCTAGCTTAGCATATGCAGGCTTCTTCTTCTTCTTTTCTATTATGGCGGATCTCAAGCAACTTTAAGCTACTCCGCCACCTACTGTACATGAGTGTGAAGCAACATTTCATCCATTAAATTCTGTTTTTTACATTTTGTATTCTGAAGATAAATAAATAATACTTTCCTTAATTTGTAAATAGATCTGTTTCCTTCATTTCCCAATATTCCTTTAAGACTCCCTTCCTGTCATCCTAAACATTCTTGTCAATCTCTCTCTTTCAAGCTTATATGTTTTACAATTCATCAATGCATGTTTTACATTTCTTTCCTCTCTACATCCTTCACTTTTATCATTATTTTTCCTAAGTATTAGACATAAATGTCATTTAGATAGGTCTGACCTATCTAAATTAACATTATGTCTTTATATATTCCT